GGCGGCGGTGTCCCGCGGGGCGCCCATCGCCTCCGCACAGGCGGCGAGCCGCGCCCCGGTGGGGGGCGGGGGTCGGGCCCAGGAGGCTGCGAGCTCGGCCAGAGCCCAGCGCGTGCCTTTGCTCAACACCGAAATCCCCCGCGGCGTAACGGGGGCGGAAGCACTGCCCCCCCCCCCCCCCCCCCCCCCCCTCCGCACCTCCGCCTCGCCTCCCTGCCCGGGTCGGCTGCCTCCAGCAGCCTCCCGAGTCCCGCACCTCCCGCGGACCGCGCCTACCCGCCGAGCTCGACCGGAGCCACCAGCGGACATCACGGCATCCCCGTGCCCGTGACACTACTCCGGCCGCTGGGCACAGGGACCCCACGCAGCCCGGGTGGAGAGGCAGCGCAGTGCCTCTGGCACCCGGGCCCCGCGGGACAGAGCCAAGGCCCCGTCCTCGAGGAAGGCCGCAGGGAAAGCCTGGGCTCACCTTCCAATACTTCACTTTTCAACGCGAACCAGTTAAACTGGTTTCAAGGCCTTGAACTGGTTCAAGTTGACTAGCATGAACGGAACCAAACCAACTTCATCCACAACCAAAACACGTACTAGTTGAAATAACTGCGCTGCCCCTGTGGTTGCATTTGGTTGTGCCTCACGGTGCACTCTTCGCATCCTATTTAAAATGCATAGGTTAAACCCACAGACAGCATCGGTGCTCAGCTGACTATCTAAGGTACTAGAATAGACCAGCTGGAGTACAGATGGCACATATGTAGAAATGGCATCATACGCTGCAGGGAAGAGCAGGGTGGTTACATGCTACCCTACAGTAACATCTGAAAGCTTTAATCACAGGAGTTACATAAAGAACCTCCATTTAAAATGTTCTTTTGCATCCAGAGCAATTATGGTAACAGACAAATTCTCTGTTAGAAGAGAGACAGGTCTCATTTGTCCAATATATAACTAAAAAGCAAGCATCACGCATACAAAAAACGTATCACAGACTGCTTCTTTACGCACCTGCATGCCTTTGCTGCAGTTTCAGAGCTGTGCTGGTGGCTGGCTGCGGCCAGACTGTCCATCCGACTGCAGCATTTCTGGTCTGTCCCCCCCTGGCTGTCTCACTCCCAGGGTGTCAGGTCAAGGAGCAGCAAAAGCAGAGTTCAGGCCATACCGAGGTCACGTATGCCGTGATGAACCTAGCAGAATCATCACAGAAAGATCAAACCAAAGAAATTGGGTGTTGGAAGCTATACAAGTTTCTGTCAGTTTAACCCACCCATACCTTAGTTCATACCATGTTAAAATCTTTATAATATTGCAGGAGAACAGCTAAATGTTGGAAGTCTGATTCCCCTTATTTCTCTTAAGAATATTTCTGTCCTGTTTTGTGCACTTTCTACATTCACCTTAAAATCATATTAAATATCTTGGTGGGCTGGTTTTTGATGTCTCACCACGACTCCTGTTGAAAAGGTTACATCACAGTTTCCAACATCTGTTATCCTACTGCCCCTCAGCTGTAAGGAATACTTTTTTTCTCCTGGCTGCTCTGCAGCACATATAAACAATAATAGCTCTGACAATTAATACAAGCTATCCCACAGTTAAGTTGGAAGAGCTTTTCTTTATTAATAGTGCTATTAATAAAATAGTAAACCAGAAAAAAGTGCTAAATAGATAATACAACCTCTAACAGCTTACACTTTTACACATATTCTGTGTGCAATAATAGAATATAAACTTACAGTTGAAATGACACAGCAGAAAATTATTTAGGATGTAGAGATCATATGCAGGGATTATTCTAAACAAGAAGACAGTAAATAAACATGAAGTGAGGAGGGTCAATACATTTTTACCCACACATGTTTTTCTCCAGATACTATTGTATGCTAAAAGACTAACAAAACTTAAGTTACACTTTCAGGATTCAAACTTTCCAATTGCTTCAATACAATAATTTTTTTCAGCCTCAAACTGTCCCTGTACCAATGGTCACAAACCAAGATAATGGTGTTTCTCATTCAATAAAGATACTTGGATCTGTACCTCAAATTAGTTCCCTTCAAATTATTCCATCTCCTTCCCTTAGAAGCTCTAAGCAACAGCAACAACAACAAAGATGTAAACCAAAGTGCAGTCAAAATGCAGAGTAAGTAATTAATGTGAGGGGAAGCAGAAGAGTTCAGAAGCAAAATGTAACAGACTCAAAATATTTGTTGTAGAGGAGAAAACCCAGAACTCACATAAGCTCAAACCTGCAAAGAGATACAAAACCGCATCTCACGGTACCAGAAAGTCACTGAATGTGGATTTCACAAACCGTCATTATAACAGCATCTTTTCAAAGGCAAATTAATACATAAAATAGGAAGTGCAATCTTATATAAAAAGGCATTTCCTTGCAAATAGGAAAAAAATAATTCTCTTTTGGATTCTGAACTTGGCTTTGTAAGATACAAATTAAAGCTGGTTAGGAAATACAGGGTGGAAAACAGCAGCAACTTACCAACTGGAAATTAGGTGTAATAGAACAGTGACCCACAACAGCATGGAGAAATCTGGAAGGATGCAGAGAAAAATGTTTTGACCGTGAGAACACCATGCATGTTAAAAGTAAGCAGTCATTCATCACCAGAGTTGCAGTAGGGAACTGGGTAGCAGACTTAGGATAGACAGGCACTTACTGCTGCTGACTCACTAAAAGTTACTACTACGTAAAAGGAGCAGATTAACTTCACTATTACTTCTAAAGATTTCTTTTTCCTGAGTTTTATTTATTGCCTCCTGCCAGAGATTCTTTGGAAGCGCATAGTATAAATGTTTGCTTTGAGAAGAAATGTAAAAAACCCAAACAAAAAAATCCCAGCAAAAAAACCCCACCCTACACTTCAGGGCCATAAGTGGTTTACTCCTTAAGACGACTCACATTTTCCTTCAGGCCCAAGCAGGTTGCTCCATCTGGACCATGACAAATCCACCTTGGCTGAACTTCCTTTGGGAAATACTTAATACATTCACAAAATAAACACTGTCGACTCATCCCAGCAACATGAAGCACACTCGCATGCCTGCAAACACACCAGGGATCCTCACAGACTTGCAAAACACCCAGTATACGGTTACATTTTGGCAAGTCCTTTTAATTAAAAGCTCATCTTTGGCGAGTCCTTTTAATTAAAAGTTCATCTTTCAGGTTCTCAGTACAAAACTCCTCTGCTACACATCAGGGAGAAACTCTCACTCATTTTCCATATTTCCTTTCTTTCCTTTCTCCCCCCCGATAAAGCACATTGATAACCTTTGAAATTAGAGAGGAGAGACAGCACAGCAACCCTGGAGCGCCGTCCGTTCCCCCCCTCCACAGCTGACAGGACTGAACCACGGGCAGGCACAGGCAGGATTTCGAACGGTAACTCCATGTGAGCCACGCAGGCACTACCAATTATTTTATCCCGGCTTGACCTTGCCAGCGGACATCCTGGCAGCACAGGGGATCGCCCCCGGGCTGGGGAGTCGCTCCCTGCGCGGGGGGACCCCGGCTGCCCGCCCGTCCCCTCAGGCGAGGCCCTCCGGCCCCGCCTCAGGGAGCCCGCGGCCCCGCCCGCGAG